GCGTAGATTATCCACTGCTTAAAGTCATCTGCTCTGAAGTATGAACTTCCATGGACTGACTGGTAAAGCTTTTTGTATGGAAAATAGCCACCGATTTCAATAACACTAATACATTCCTTTTGTGGAGCAGTCACCTGATGGACTTACGACCACCAGATAATACTGTGAGTTACCAATAATATGTATCTTTATCTCTACAAGTCGAAAGAAGTCATGGCTTTGAATCAAGTTTTGGACATAGAGGACACAGCCTTCAATTAGGACACTGAACAAGCAAAAATATTTCATGAATTTGCAAATTAAATGCCTTTCAAAAAAATCTGGCTTTGTAGTGGATCCCTCCTACTTTCTAACAGTAAAGTATCATTAGTGAAGCTTGAAGAAATGCACCGTAAGATAATCAATTGCAGTATGTTTTCTTACTCCTCTCTCTGTGTTGCCCAGTGGCCCTCTCCATCTTCTTAGACATCTCTATGTTCTTCAGCTTTGCAATCTTCTTCTATATAGAATTATGAAGTAATATAGTTTGCAAAGGACCTCTGGAGGGCTACGGTACGATCTCCCGACTCAAAGCAGAGCTACTGTCCCTCTCAGCACAGCCACTGAATCTAGAGAACCAGATCTTCAGCTGCTATTAACAGGAAAATCATTAGGATTCACCAGTTTACAGTTGTACACGATTTTAAGCTCCAGAAGCAACAGAGCGAGAGATGCTGCTGGGTCTTTGTTCTGAACGGCTACCAGAAGGGGAAATGTTGAAGTAATTCACAGAATCCAACAGATATGCTATAAATTACAGCTGAAAAGCAATAATAGATCTTTATGTGCAGTGATTTTCAAACTGAAGTCTGCAGACTGCTTGGAGCCCATGAACCACTGCGTCGGGGTTCCACAAAGATGACTGGGAAAGGTCTATAGTGCAGAAGTTTAAATTCACTAAACATGGACCTCTCACTGGGAAATCTTTAGGGGATAACAAATCAAAGCAGCAATTTATTGTCATGCGGAGCTAGTCAATACAGATTTGACAGCCAGCCTGATTGCCCTTGGGATTTTCTTCTACACACGGAATCCCAGAGCTGAAAGCAGCTCTCTCCTCTTTCCCCTCCGCCAGACCAGCACAATGACTGACGCGAGCCAAGGTCTGGTGTGGGGACAGTACTACAGTATTTCTTAACAAATAAAGCTTAGAAGAGCCTGACTTTCATGGTTAGAGCCCTTGCCTCAGAGCCATACCCTAAGAATTCAAATAATGCATAGCAAAATGACACTATACTTACAAGCAGAAAAGCAGAGTGTCGATAGATACATCATGCAACAGGATCAAAGAAAATAAGTTAGAGGTGTCTCAGAATTGCACCTAAATCAAACATATGCTGCCATGTTATCTACCCTACCTCCTTCTGTTCACCTTCCTTGATTGTGCTTTCTTATAAAAAGATCTACAGAACGCAAAAGGTGGAGAAGTGGTGATCTGAAAAAAAAAAGGCAGGGATGTGTGTTCATGACAAGGGTCCGTGACTTTGCTGCTAAGAGTTTATGTTTCTTTAGATATAATTTCTTACTTCATTGCATTTGGAGTTCTTTAAGTACAACTTTAACACTAAATTCCTGTATACTCTTTCTATCAGGTGGTCTTACATACGTTTCCCTTTCAGGATGCAGTAATTGGTATGGAAGTCATTACTGCACCGCTCAGTCAATGAGGCTGCTCAACATCTCACATCACCAAGCCCCAAACCCTCCAGACTGAACAGATAAATGATTTGCTGGCAAGGTTTCTTCCTATAAACCTTCCTAAAAAAAAAAAATGGATTCATTTTGCTTATAGGATGATTTTGCAAAGGATTGGTGCACAAAGAAAGCCGAGACAGGCTTATATGCACAAATTTATTTTTTTTTTTTTAGCAGAATCCACAATTTGGACCTCAAAGCTATTTTAGGGGTGGAAAAACCAACAAAAAACCCCAACCCAAAAACAAAACCCCCAAACAAATAAAACCAAACCAAACCAAAAAAACCACAACCAAAACAAGAAGAGAAAGAGAGGAAAAAAGAGAGAAAGAAAACCATCTTCCTGGTGACCAGCCCAAGAACAGAAGCAAAGGGGTCTTCCAGACAACTGTCCTCTTCTGGACATCCTCTCCAGGGGAGCAGGGAGTCCACAGAGCAGTTTTCCAACAGTAACAATACAGTTTTCATCAAAACCCACTTAAACTCATTACTGGTTGCTCCTGCCTGAGATGCTGTTAGCACTGACCGGAGCACACTTGAGGTGCGGGAGTTGCATGCTCCATGTACATTACTGAGTAATATTTATTGGACGTGTCAATTATTTATCTACTGTAGGCTTTAAAGTTATAAAACTAAAAGCTACAAGGCAAAGAGTAAAAAAAATAGGTTAAGAAAGGGTGATTCACTTACCCATGGTAATCAGTTTTTAGGAGAAACCGGACATAACAGACAGAAAAACACATCAGAATGCATCTGTGCAAGGCCCTGAGGACAAGGGCACTTGGATACCACACTAAAAGCACCATGACAGCAGCCTCCAGGTGCGTGGTTACAAGGGAAAGGCAGGCTACAGAGGGAACACCCGTAGCATTACAAAGGTTAAAGCGTCAGACACGCTATGCAGACACACCTACAGGGTTAAAATCCTGAAATTCAAAGAACTCAGCACAGAAAGTGTCATGGTAAACTTTTCCCACATCACAAGCAATGTGCTTCAGGTCCACCTTAACGCAGTGTCTTGCTGACATTTATTATTATCCTTGTCAGAGGTCTATTTGGAACCAAACTAAATAAAACTAGCAAGTCTTAGGAAAACATGCCTTTCATTTCTGACTTTCGTCACCCCACGCCACAGGAAAAGGCTGTTTAATAGGCTGAAGTCCTTCTGCAGCAATAAGACCAGGCAGAAGCAGAGGAAATCTATAGCATGCCTTGGCACAGAGGAGGCACAAAGTGATTCTCACCGGTATAGAAGTGATGCACGTTCTTTCACTTCAGTCTCCCTTCCTATTGCCTAGGTAGGGAGCACGGGTAGAGAAAAGGAGAGGCGCAAGATTTTTTTAGATATTCACTGTTGTCAGCTCCTTCAGTCTAATGGCAGCAGGCAAAAACAGAGCACCCTTGTCTATGCCTGCTCTACACTACGGCTGGGGCTGGACAGAAGCACAACAGCACCAGGACGGGAGGCACTTCTTGCTTTCACTGAAGGAGGTGGTCTCTCATCCTATGCTATCCTTCAGCAGCAAGATACGACAGTTGGCTAGAGAGCAAACAAGCATTGTGAATTAAAACATTTGGTGGTTAACCGTGTGGGTTGCTTCCCCTGCTTTTCCAGACCAGGTCAGAACACAGTGCTAATTGAAAGACGAGACAAATAAAGGTCTGAGCTGCTGGAAGCCAGGGTTGCTCCAATCCTAAGATTTGATCAGGCAACAGAATGTTGTAAATTAGGGAGTGCAGTCTGTACCCTAAAATGTTCGTATATGAAATCTGCTTAGAATCAGCCAGTGCCTCTACAGAAAGGATTAATAAGCCTTCCACTTATTAATGCAAAATGGCCACAAGAAAAGATATCTATCACCGGGAAAGCTGTGGGTCGCAGCTGCCTTGCCCTGGAGAGCGGCCAGACACCTTCAGGCACGAGAAAGACAGGAGTGAAAATGCTCTTCCGCTGTTTTTGCCCGTGCACTGCCAACACCTTGCATAACCTAATGACAGGGATTATTTTATTATAAAGTGCCTCACAGCAAAGAAAAGATGGCACTGTCCCACCTGTTCATAACAGCGTTGCCCTAAGCAGGAGGTCTCTGGCTGAGCCTGCTGTCAAACAGCTCTCCTTGTGACAAAAGAAAACTGTTAAGCCTGACAGCCATTGAGGCTGTAATTCAGCATGACAAAATAGAGCAAAACGGTGCTAATTTCAGGCAGAGTACCAACATCTCCTTTGTAAGCCCACCGCTGAGAAGTAAGGTGAAATTCGGG